AGGTGCTTCAAGTTCTTCAGGAGGAGGCAGGAAGACAGACAGGAAAACACCCACCATTTGAAACCATAGAAAACAACCGCCAGTGTTTCTTTCTGTTTGTATTATTAATATTTCAGATTATTCCAGTCCAGTCCTTAAAGGCTGGTGTTCCTTGACTGTTAAAAACGAAGACATTATGAAGTTTTTTGGTGGGCGGGGCTTAGCTGGAGGCAAAACAATTCTCCACAGACATTAGCTAGCGCTAGCTAGCAAGTTCTGTTAGTTTGTTTTAGACAATGTAGGAGTGGCGCATTCAGAAATACTCATTCGAAGTGTGTGATTAACTTAACCATTTGTGAAACCAAGTAGAAATATAATGCTCCGTTTCTTCGACCAACAGGGCTCTCATTTTAGTGTAGAGCGTCAGACTGAATTTACCAACGTACCATGTCAGGTCGCTCACTCTCTGGGACCACGAATGTTACTCGTAGAAGTAAACACCGACCAACAGGACCAGACTGGCCGACCTGTATGCTCTCACTCAGTGGATGGATGATGTCACAGGAAACCAATCTTACAAAGGAGGACAACACCTGAACCGTTTCCTCCAGTTTGTTTTGCTGTCGAAGCTAACGTTAGCTAATGCGCTAAAAAGTTATCATTATGGAGAAACCCAATATTCCTCTTAATATCTCCCCAGTTTCTGATGAGGTGGACATGATAACCCTTAATACACACAATGTTATTCAACCCAACAACAGGAAATACTTTTTGCCCTTTAATTAACTCATCTCAGAGCGAAACAAGCGACTCCCCCTCAGTTAAGATAAATTGTCCAGTTACATCATCTTTTGCTCCACGTCTTTAACATGTTTCTTCAGTGTTTTCTATGGTTTCACCTGGTTCTGTGAAGCTCTTTCATGACTGTCAAACAACCACCTGATCATATTAATTTTACCACACTGAAGTCTAAAAATACAAATGAAATGCTAGTGCACCCTAGAGGCCGCAGTGGTCACTACACCCAAAATACCAGTGTGATGGACAGACAAATAATATACTGATGTTGAGCAGGGAAGATCAGTTTGTGTTCCAAAATAATCTCAACTCAAAAATCCACAAATAAGTGTGTTTTTTTTTTCCCTTAGCTTTCAGCAAAATCTTATAATCTTCCTTAGCGAATGGAGCTAGCTCACAAGTCTGGTTCAGGACAAAGAGAATGGCAAGCCCTTTTAACACTTATTAGTAGCGGTAATACCTTGACCTTGACTTTGACCTTCGATCGCCAAATTCTAATCAGCTCATTGTTGAGATCAAGTGGACGTTTGTGCCAAATTTGCATTAATTCCCTCAAGGCATTCATTCACAAAAATGAGACAGATGAGGTCACAGTGACCTTGACCTTTGTCCTATGACCACCAACATGTAACCAGTTCATACTTCAGTCCAACAGCACAGTTGTGCCAAATTTGGAAAAAAAAAAAATTCTCCAGGGGTTCTTGAGATACTGTGTTCACAAGAATAGGACGTAAGTACATACGAATGGACAGACAACCTGAAAATATAATGCCTCCAGCCAAGGCTATTGCCGGCGTGAAGGCATAAAAAGGAATCTCCAGTAGTCAAAAATGTCTTTGTAGATTTCTTCAATGCCATACGTACTTATCAAAAAGAAAATGCTAAATTGGGCTACATATTCAAAATAAATATGCTAATTCAAAAGTGTCCCAGTGGCTTTGTGGGGCTTGAATGACATGATATGAAGCCCACATACCCAAAATGGTTTGCTGATCTGTCGGACATATTGGAAATTCAACTGTTGATATCTGAAAGACAAACTCACAAACATCACTGTTATTACTGCTAAAATGCAGCGTGAGTTAATGTACTCGAGTCATCAAGATGCACAGACTCGCTACTCATAACAATACCACATTTTTTAAGTGCTGCCATTTCCTGCAAACTAAATTTGAACTTGAATAGTTAGGTCATGCTGAAGAGTCTGTCTGAACAAATCAGTACAGACAAAATATCAAATAAAACCATTCGTTATCAACAGTATTATCCAATTCTGTCCACTGTGGTCTCTATTTTTCATTATTTTCGATGACTCAATGCTGTTTTATTTGTTTCTGAATGTAAAAAAATATCTATCTTTCATAATGTTTTGGTTCAAACACTTGCTCCTGCAGTTTCCCACAGTGTGGTTATGGACCTACCGGTGCAGCACAATGACTTGTGACTCTGTCAGACAGCAGGGATGTCAGTCATTCAGAACTGATTAATGTCACGGCATCTCAGGGCAGGAGCTGCCATTTTGTCTCAATATTACAGGAGTCAGTGGAGCCATGAAAGCTGCCAGAGTAGTGACACACTTAGCGCCACTTAAAGGTGACATTTTTTTCTTTGAGAAAATCTCAGATTCAAACCCTCGGGCTGCGTGTGTTTACTCACCCACTGACTTCTTTCCCTGCTCTCAGATGTCGACAGTCACTCTGTTATTATAGGAGTTTAACCTGGTCCAAGATAATAACAAGCTCCTGTCATAGTTTAAAAATATATATATTTATACACTGTATACAGTGTGGGAAACAGAGACTGAGAGAGGTGGGGTGTAAAGCGACAGAATACACACAACAATGGTCAAAAGCTCAGAGAAAAGCTGTTTTTGAGTTGAGATTATTTTGTGTTTTATTTATCCGTTCTGTTTATCCTGAGGGTGGCGCTAGAGGAGAAATGATGGGGCCAGTCTAAAGCATGTAATGTCTCTAAGTGTTGACTGGACAGACAGATCATGTGGTTGTTTAAAAGTCATGACAAAGCTCTGGGTACTTATTTACAACATACACTGTAAAACAACTTATCGGAGCACAGAAAAAGCAACCAGAGAAGTGTTTATGTTTCGTTGTTCGTCATTGCGAGTGAATAAGCTTATTTAAGGAGAATGTTCCTTTGCTGTTGCAGGTTCTGAAAAGTTCCAGTGATGTGTTCAAAGTTTTAAAGAGTTCCTCGGACTCCTGGTGCTAAAAGTTTTGTGGTTCGGATGTCTTAAACTCCAGAAAGTTCTGGTCAGATTCAGCGACAACAGGAAGGTGAAGACTGAAACTGACAGACTGATTGTTCACATCAGGCTAACAGTCAGGACGAAAGGCCTTTTTCACTGTAAAACCAGGAAGTAGCCTGGTCCAGACTGCAGAGTGAGTCTTTAACACACAGGCAGTGGAGACAACAGCAGGAAGAGGCAGACATGAGGACATCAGAGATAAGGAGGAGGCGTTCATGTACTTCAGTTCAGACTCTGGTTCCAAACATACAGCAAGCTGAGTCAGCAGGAGGCCAGAACGAGCAACAAACTGTCCTGAATTAACGGTCCAACCATGACTTCTGTTAAGGCGTATTGTTTGGGGTTTTTACTGAGTTAAAAAAAAAAAAAAGGAGCAGACCTCTAACACTAAAAGTTTAGAAAGTTTAGCAAGTTTGGGCTCCAGAATTCTATTAAAGGATAATTCTGGTTTATTCCACCTTGGCAGGGCTATAGCCACCACGAGGACATGATGGTAACATTTTGGAGATTTTGGAAGGGGATACACATCACCAATGACAAACACATTACACGTTTTAGTTTTTTTTAGAGATGATCTCGTTGTTTTCAGCTTGTTTTCATTCCCAGATCGTCATATACCAACACCGAAGGAACTCTCTCTATCAGACACAACAGGCTTTCAGCTAACTTCAATGTAAACCTAATGTAGATGAAGTAGTATAAAGAGCAAGAAAGGTGGATGTGTCAAACAAGCACAGACTTTAACCCAGGAGACAGCCGTTTTGTGTCCCATCCATCCATTCATCCATCCATCCATTTTCAACCACTTATCTGAAGCCAGGTTGCGGGGGCAGCAGGCTGAGCAAAGTATTTCAGATGCCTTGCTTTCCAGCAATACTTTCCAGCTCCTACTGGGGGACCCCAAGGCATTCCCAGGCCAGACGAGATATGTAATCCCTCCAGTGTGTCCTGGGTCTGCCCCAGGGCCTCCTACCAGTGGGAGGTGCCTGGAACACCTCTAACAGGAGGCGCCCAGAAGGCATCCTGATCAGATGCCGGAACCACCTCAACTGACCCCTTTCAAAGCGAAGGAGCAGTGGCTCTACTCCGAGCTCCTCACCCTATCTCTAAGGCTGAGCCCAGCCACCCTTCTGAGGAAACTCATTTCTGCAGCTTGTATCCACAATCTCATTCTTTCAGTCACTACCCAGAGCTCATGACGATAGGTGAGGGCTGGGACGTAGATGGTCCAGTAAATCAAAAGCTTTAACTTCCAGCTCAGCTCCCTCTTCACCATGACAGTCCGGAAAAGTGCATCACTGCAGACGCCGCGCCAAACCACAGATCCATCTCACTCTCCATCCTACCCTCACATGTGAACAACACCCTGAGATATTTGAACTCCCTCGCTTGGGGCAGTAACTCACCCCCAACCCGGAGGGGGCAATCCAGCATAATTCGGCAGAGAACCATGGCCTCAGACTTGGAGGTGCATTTGTGTCCTGTTAAAACCAAAAGTCAGTGTTGTTTTAACATAGTGTCGCAACATACCTAGGTGCATGACGCACTTATGTCATGTTACATACTTACTTAAACTCAAAACATGCTTTTTTTTTTAACCTAAGTAGTTTTGTTGCCTAAACCTAACCTCTACTACTGACAACTGGAACCATGTGTTATGCGTACGTACCCAGGAAATAGCTGTGTGTCACATACAGATGCTAAAGGACGCCTCGTACGTCGGTGAGAACACCTTGGGGGTGTGACAAAGTGTTTGTATATGAGCTTGGAATGAAAACGTACAACAAAAGGGATTTAGGGTCCACTAGAATTATACAACTGGCTGGCAGTGTAAAGAAACAACATGCCAGCACTACGTTTTTAAAGATTTCCGTCGTCATTAGAGGATTTTTGGTAAAGAGAAACAGAGGATAGGGAGGTCAAAAAGTTTTGAGAGACCTTTGTTTTTTTGCTCTTTCCATGGGATTTGTTGACAATTTAAAAAACATAAAATACCGCCTGCCATATCCTTTAATTTCTCTTTCTCCCTTTCAAAGTTTGTCTGCTCGAGATGCTGTATGTTAGGAGCAAGTCAAACATGAACGCAGGATCGTCTGAAGGGGACATCTGTGGCATCACGGTCCAGAGTTGATATGATATGAAGACATTTGCATTCTTATAGTTTTCATTCATGATGGAGGACGTCTGACATCAGGTTTGTGCTGGTTAGCTCCTCCAGCAGGAGGAAGAAGAGCTTCTGTGTTCAGAGGAGATTTTTTTAAACAGAAACAACCCCGTCCAAACTCCAAAGACCCGTCCTAAACAGACCTGAACCGAGTCCAGACGTTCTTGACCACCTTTGTGTGTCGGTCTCAGGTACCATTGAGTTATTGCTGTTCCTTATGAATCCTGGTTCTTTTTTAAAATGTCAAAGCAAAGCACATTAAAACAAACTCTAGCTGTATTTCTCAGTGGATTCACGCTGTCACAAAGACTCACTTGTCATGAGGGACGACGTACTTTGGGGTTCTTGTTTTGGTAAAAAGGTCAAAGAAAGAAAAATATAATTATTCTCTATGTTTCATGCACAAGTTGAATGTTTTTTCTTCTTCTTCTTCCAGTTGGATGTTTTGACTCTGGAACATTTAAATAACAAATGAGGACGACAGAAAAAGCTGCACACTGATATATTTCCTCCAGGACCACTTATTGCTTTCTAGAAATTTCAGGACAGTTCTGTCATTTTCAGGACTTTCCAGGTTTTCCAGGCAGGATGTGTGAGGACTTTCCAGCCTCTGTTGTGTTCAGCTTCACGTCTGGTTTAGTTAAAGCAACGAGAAGGTTCAGTCCTCTCAAGTCTCCTTCAGTCAGATGAGAAGGTCGCAGGTTTGAATCCCCGCAGCCATGATGGCAGAGCTGATGTCTCTTCTGTTACTTCAACAAACTGAAGGTCAGAGGTCAAAGGTCGCCGATTCAACTCCCCACCCTCGACCCCGCTATCAGTAGGGAGCAAAGAGTATCGATCCTTGGCTTGCTCTGATTGGTCCAGGAGCCGGACGCAGGAAGGAGGCAGTGAAGAGGGATGAGGAAGGGGGAGGGCGAGGATGGAGAGAGATGGTGGGGGTGAGGGGTGAGGATGTGGGAGTGAGGAGGGGGGAGGAGGAGAGGGGGGCGGTCGGGAGCGAGATGGTGGAGGTGAGGGACGAGGGTGGGGGAGCGAAGGGAGTGGAGAGGAAGGAGGGTGAGAGGGAAGGCTTCACTAACTCCTTCTGAGGAGAGAGGAGAAGAGACAAGGAGAAGAGGAAATAGGAGGGAAATGAAGAGGAGAGGAAAGAATATAGGAAACAAGGAGATGATGGGAGTGGAGACCAGGAGAGGAAACAAGAGGAGAGGAGACATGAGGGGAAACAAGGAGAGGGGAGGAAACAAAAGGAAAAGAAACAATGAGAGGAGAGGAAACAAGAAGAGGAAACAAGGAGAGAGGAGACAAGAGAGGTAACAAAAGGAAAAGAAACAAGGAGAGGAGAGAAAACCATGGAAGAGGAGACAAGGACAGGAATTGAGAGGAGATGAGTCAATGAGAAAGGGAACAATGAGAGAAGAGAAGACAAGAAATAGAGAGGAAATAAGAGGAGAGAAAACAAGGATAGGAAACAGAAAGGAGAGAAAACAGGATGAGAGGAGACAAGGAGTAGAGAGGAAATAGAGGGGACAAAGAAAGCAAACAAGGAGAGGAAAGGAGACAAAAGAGAGGAACCAATGACAGGAGAGAGGACAAGAAGAGGGGAAGAGACAAGGGAAGGAAACAAAGGAAGGAGAGGAAACAATAGGAGAGGAGATGAGGAGTAGAGAGGAAATAGGAGGAGAGGAATTAAGAAAAGGAAACACAGAGAGGAGAGGAAACAAGACGAGAAGAGACAAGGAGTAGAAAGAAATGAGAGGAGAGAAGACAAGCAAAGGGAGGAAACAAGGAGAGGAGAGAAAACAAGAGGGGAGAAGATGAGGAAAGTAAACAAAGAAAGGATGAGTAGAGAGAAAATAAGAGAAGAGGAGACAAGGGAAGGAAACACAGAAAGGAGAGGTAACAAGATGAGAGGAAACAATGAGAGGAGAGGGGACAAGAAGAAGAAACAAGGAGAGAAGAGGAAACAAGGGGTGAGGAGATGAGGAAAGGAAACAAAGAAAGCAGAGGAAACAAGAAGAGAGGAGATGAAGAGTAGGGAGGAAATAAGAGGAGAGGAGACAAGGACAGGAAACAAGGAGAGGAAAAAGGGAGAGGAAACAAAAAAGAGTGGAGGAGATGTAAGAGGAGAGGAAACAATGATAGGAAAGGAAACAAGAGGAGGGGAGACAAGAAGAGAGGGGACAAGGGGTGGAAACAAGAGGAGAGGAAACAAGGAAAAAAAGAGAGGGGAGGGAAAAATAGGAGGAGACCAGGAAAAGAAAGGAAACAAGGAAAGGAGGGGCAAAAATTATTACAGAATAAATACAAAAGTGCATTAATGAATAAATGAATGAATGAATTCAGGAACAAATACTAATTTATTTTGAAAATATTTCCTGCAGTCACTCATTATTGATTTAAAACATTTATTTATTTAATTGATGTGTTTACTGATCATCATTCATTTCCTTAAAATGGTTCATGCCAATAAAACTAATTTAAGTATGAATTAGAGAAAGTTTATTTATTTCTCTACTCCATTTTTTTGGTTTGTTTTTTTACACACAAACACATAAAACATGTTTACAGGTAAACATATATGAGACATATGAGATATGTACTGTTCATATGTATGTCTATATAAGTACTGTATTTTCCTATTTTTCTCTGTTGACTGTTTTCGTTTGTACAATCAGTTGTACGTTTTATTCACCGCCTTTTAATTGTATCAGTGTTTTGGTAACACATGTTAAATGCCAGTAGAGCCTGTTAAACTGAACAGAGACACACTTACAGTGAGTGAGCTGCGCTGCTGTTTGTTATACGGGCTGTATTTGGGTTTGCTGGGTTTTCCTGCCACTCGGTCCTTGTGCCTCCTGCTGGAGATGTGCTGCAACAACAACAACAACAACAACAAACACTGACAACAGAGCTGAGGACAGATGAGCCTGAGACGCCTCTGACTGTAGAGAGGTAGAGACAGAGTAAGACTTCCTGACGAAACTGAAGAAAGAGAACATTTTACAAAGCGTTTAGCTCGCTCTCAAAACTAAATATAACATTCGCTTGCAGAAAAAAGGTATTTACACAGAAATATGAGCCTGAGGAGAAACAGCTCCTTCAAAATCTGACTCCTCTTTCTTGCTTTTATTCTTTCTTCCTCTGTGGTTCCTACCATTATTATATCACACTGTTAAACTATGGCTGTTTAAAATCAAATTTTGAGTTTGTTAATATCTCCACTGTATAGTGCCCTCAGAAAGACTAGTGTCCGTACAGTGGCATGTAGACTACTTTCTGCTAACACAGAGAGCAGCAGAAAGTCACTGCTGCTTTGTTTTCATGTTATGTCACTTGTTTGCTGACTAACGCAGTAAACAACCATCCCTTTAGCTACACAAGCCACACAATTTGAATTAAAAATTAACTTTGTAAGAGTTTCTGTTTACAGTACGGCTTGATTGATGCTGTTATGTGTCCATGCTGTTTGTACCTGTTTGAGTTGGATCTCAGAGTTGACGTGGACGTCACAGATCTGGCAGTGGAAGGTTTTGTTCTGCAGGCCGGAGCCCTTCAGTGAGGAGCTGTTGCCGTTCTTCAGCTTGGCTCCAGCTCGAGGGTAGGCCTTGATCGGCCCGGCGCCACTCCGAGCCTCCAGCATCGTCTTGTGCTTTGAACCTTCCGGACAAAGACACACAAAAACCAAACTTCTATTAGACGAGAGACGTAACGACAATCACAACCCCTGTATACTTTCAGTTATCGCTGCTCATCAGTTTTAAAGAAAAATTTCCCTTGCATAACTTGACATGGCATCCTAGAACGTCAAAACTACCGCATCCTTTAACGTCGTATGTGGACATGGAAGGTCCATGACCAAATGTCGATATGTGACGAACGATATCGGAGTGAGAATGAGTTGCAAGTGCTAAATGCTCCACTATGTTCATGGTCGTTTGGTGCTGAGCAGGTATAGCCTGGTTCCAGACCATAGACCCCGCCCACTCAACAGAGTAGGCTTGCATCTCTGGTCTGGCATACTTGTGAATTTGCGATTTATCTCGTCCAAACGCTGGACGGACCAATGAACGCCGGGGGTCTAGCGATTAGCCAATCAGCGCCACGCTGATGTCAAGCTGTACGCCGGTGGCTAACTGGTGAGGATAGCAACAATGGCAACCGCTACAGATCCTACAGACCACATTCACGATGCTATCGAGGTATTTCGCCACTACTCGCGTTAATGGAGGACCAAATTAAGGAAGCTGCTAAACTGAATTTAACAGCGATGCAGCTGGGCGTGCACGACGACGGAGACATTTTAAACGGGCAATGCTTGCTTGTTTTCGGCACCCCCGAGGCATGGATACTAATGACGTCAGATTCTGGGTGAGTCGTTCATCTCTACTGATTGGTTAGGGAAAAAATCAAATTCCCTCCCCCTTGTAAATTGCCTTCAATGGAAGCCATGTCAGACTGAAGGTTCTGGGAGCTTCAGTCTGACACTCAGGCTAGAGCAGGTAGTGTACAGTGGGTTTTTTATTGCTGGAAATTCAGGAGAATATGGTGAAAAATGTTTTCATGTTTGGCTGAGGAAGTAGTATCTATAAGAAATTAGACATTGCAAATCAATCGTAACATACAGCATGTGATTGAAACGTCACTCAACCGTCCTCTGAAGACATGATAAATGGCGGCAGATGAAAACGTGTCATTCCATGCATCATCTCCTCACCTGCGTTATGAGCCTCCAGCTGAGACAGAGAGTTAACGGCGACTTTACACAGAGAGCAGTACAGCAGCTTCTTCGCCTTCTCCTCCTCCGACTCCATTGAGAGAGACGCATCCTGGGAGGAGGTCTGGGAAGGTGGAGGAGGAGCAGGAGGTGAAGAGGAGGTGACAGGAGCTGGAGGAGGGGGAGGCGGAGAGGCTTTGGAGGAAGGGGGAGAGGAGGAGGAAGAGGAAAAGAGGCCTGGGGCGGGGAGAGCGGTGGGAGGACTGGAGGGAGGAGGCTCGCTGCCTGGTCTGCTGGAGGAGGGGGAGGCAGAGGAGTGAGGGGAAGAGGAGGGGAGGAGGAAAGGTTTGAGAGGAAAGGAGTCGGCGAGGCTCGATAATAGATCTGGAGGGCAGAGGGGGAAGAAGAGGAGGAAGAACATGATATAAAAAACAAACTCCGAAATAAAAACATGACACAGATCAGTGGTATTAAAATCAACCTGTGTGCTCATTGGTGCTGCTGTTAGCTGAGACAGGAGGGGCGGGGCAAACAGGACTGGTGCTGCTCCCATTGGTCTCTCCGGCGATTGACAGCTTTGCCTTGGTCTTGTTCTCCTGAGACTTGAGCTTCTTGGCGTGACGACTGCCTCTGTAGTGAGCTTCTGCCTGAGACTGAAGCAAAAGACAAACAGAGAGACTGTTTCATTTTTATATCTGGGCTTGTGTCTGTTGTCTCCTGAACTCCTGATGTCACTTCCTGTCTGGTCTTCCTGACTGTGTGTTAAACTGAGAAACATGACCTCTGCTTTGGGGTTGCACAAGGGACCTGCCTTGGTCCACTGTTATTCTCACTGTACATGCTGCCATGTGGTGACATCATTAGAGAACACAATGTTTGTTTGCAGATGACTTGCAACTGTACATCTCTGCTGAACCAAACGATGCTGCAACCACAAACTCTTTTACTACCTGTCTTTTGTCAATAAAATAATAAATAAATGGATGAGAAATAATGTCCTGGAGTTGAATGAAGACAAAGCTGAAATCCTGCTTGTTGCCCTAAAACAAAAAGAGAAGTGATGATCTGGGGAATTTAACTCCCTGGATTAAATCTGAGGTTACAAGTTGAGGTGTGATCCTTGGTTCAGATCAAAGCTTCCAGTCCCACATTGACAAGGTGACAAAAACACCACTTTTCCACCTCTGAAACAGAAACAGAGCTAAGGTACGACCATTTCTTAATGGAAAATATGCAGAGACATTGGTTCATGCCTTTATTTCAAGCCGACTCGACTACCGTAACACATTTTTTATTGGCCTCCCAAAAGACACCACTGAGAGACTTCAGCTCATTCAAAACGCTGCAGCTCAACTACAAGAGGAGAGAGCACATAAGGCCAGTCTGAGCTACTCTGAACTGACTTCCTGTTACATTTCAAATTGATTTTAAGCTCCTCCTCCTTGTATACAAAGCCCTACATGGGCTGGGATGACGCTACCTTGCTAAGTCCCTTGTTAACCTTAAAAGTTGTCGGCAGTCGGCCCAGTTAATGAAGTTATTTCTTCATCCTTTCATTTTATAGTTACAGTTTACTAATAAAACTCTCCACAGTATGAACAGTGGTTACATGAGCCTCAAAACCAGACACAACTCAGCCCTGAGCAGAGTGACCGTCCTCTACTGACCAATCAGACTGCAGTGTTCACAGCTCCACCTTTTAGTACCAGATCTGTGTGCTAGGTACCCCAACAGAGGGGGGACCAAACATGGGGACGGTATGGAACGGTTCCATTTGTACCATCCACAACTTTTCACAGTGGAAACGGAAAAAAGCGTACTGAACTGAACTGTGTGTGTCATGTCATGTCATATACGGCATCATCGACTCCAGATTTAACTTCTCTTGTTTCAGATTTTTCTCATCAGTCCTGTTCGGTGATGAGACAGACCTGAGCTCAGCTGCACAATCTCCACTTCAGCAATACAGTACGCAGTTTCAGATAACATTACATAATACATCAAATTTATTTTTTACTTGCCCAACTGGATAACTGCATGAGGCGTTCCACTTGCCTGAACACAGAGTTAAATGCCCCGGGCAAGCATTAATGTGGAGCCCTGGCACTGCTTGTATTACTTGTCATTTTGCTTTTTTTTTTTGGTTAAAAATGAACCTGTTAGTTATCAAATAATACGTAACCAAACCAAAACTGACGTCACTGGTTGGGATGTACTGTGAATAGACTTTAAATGTGGAGCCTGATTTGTGTATGAACAGTTTGGATACACTGTAAAACATAAGATTCATACTATGTGTCACCACAGAGTGTAATGCGCCCTGAGTGACAGGGAAACAAAGCTACAGGTTAACAGTGTCCTCATGTGACTGTCTGGACGCTGCATGACTCAGCTTTTATTCAGTTTATTAGAGTGAGTTAATGCTGCCCCTTTACTCCTCTCCTTGTCTCCTCTCCTCTCCTCAACAGTGATTCCTGTTTTTCATGTTCACTCATGAATAATTTTAACAGCTCATAAATTAGTCATGTCTGACTCGCGTGTCACAAACGATGCAGCTCGTTGCCTCTCAGCAGTCATTATGTGAATGAGCTGAATGTCATTCATACAGCATGAAATAAAAGGGCAGGGGGTTACACCTGATTATAAACACCTGCTGTTCTGTAGAGATGCCTGACAGGGTAATGACTTGAGCCTCACAAGAATCAGTCTGAGCTGCGTTAAGCATTACATGAAAATATTTTCCTTAATAGTACTCTGCTGACAAACATTTTAGTCACGGGAAATCCTTAAAGGAACAGTCCAACATCAACTTCAGTCAGAAATGAGCCCTAAAACCTGAAAATGAGTTAGCATCTTTTTGCTCCCGGTGCCCTCGTCTCAAGTTTTTGAGACCTGATTAGATGCCGAAAATTTGTGATTAACACAAGCAAAGCACCCCAGACATCCCTCTCCCCAGCAACACTTTCCAGCGCCTCCTGGGGGACCCCAAGGTGTTCCCAGGCCAGACGAGATATGTAATCCCTCCAGCGTGTTCTAGGTCTACCCCAGGGCCTCCTACCAGTGGGACGTGCCCGGAACACCTCTAACAGGAGGCGCCTGATCAGATGCCCAAGCCACCTCAACTGACCTCTTTTGACATGAAGGAGCAGTAGCTCTACTCCGAGCTCCCTGCAAATGTCCGAGCTCCTTACCCGATCTCTAAGGCTGAGCCCAGCCACCCTAGGGAGGAAAGTCATTTCGGTCCTCTGCCAGGGTTGTCCCTTGTCACCGATCCTGTTTCTGGTATTCATGGACAGGATCTGGAGGCACAGCAGGAGGGAGGAAGGGATCCAGTTTGGCAGGCTCAGAATTGTGTCTCTGCTTTTTGCAGATGCTGTGGTTCTGTTGGCTTCATTACACCATGACCTCCAGCACGCACTGGGGCAGTTTGCAGCCGAGTGTGAAGCAGTCAGGATGAGAGTCAGTACCTCCAAATCTGAGGCCATGGTTCTCTGCCGGAAACCGGTGGATTGCCCCCTCTGGATTTGGAGAGAGTTACTGCCCCAAGCAAGGGAGTTCAAGTATCTTGGGGTCTTGGGTCATGAGTGAGGGTAGAATGGAGCGTGAGATGGATCAGCGGCTTGGTGTGGCTTCTGCAGTGATGCAGATGCTGTACCAGACTGTCATAGTGAAGAGGGAGCTGAGTGAGAGGGCAAAGCTTTCGATTTACTGGTCTACCTACATCCCAACCCTCACCTATGGTCATGAGCTCTGGGCAGTGATTGAAAGAATGAGATCACGGATACAAGCGACCTCGTAGTAGTGGTGATATTAAATCATGCGACTGTAGTGTAGTTCATTTCTATCTTAATGTTGCCTTTTTACATCTGACGACTGCATTTAGGCTTCAAAAATCATAAAAGGTGTGTTCATTTGGGAAGATTATCTTGCTGAACAAAACGCGTAAGTATCATAAAGGACTGTTTGCTTCATAGCTTATTTTCTGCAATAACCCAAAATCCAATGGAGAAATCCCAGTGGCTTTTTGACGAGGGAACCAAGGCGGCTCTAACTTCCATGTTGTCCTACAGAAAAACATCATCCTCGGAGCACTCTATCTCTCTGCATCTAGAGCCACCACCTCCTATCTATTATCCAGGTCCTTTACTGTCCCCATCAGATAATGTAGTCTAACTGTCCTGGCTGAATAATAATGTTGATCATTATTTTGTGTTATATCATTAAAAAAACACATCACTGAATACCAAATTCCACATTTGACTGAACAGGACTGTTGGAATATCAATGTTATTTATTTAAAGTTTTGAGCATCAAAAACTTCCTGCACATTCAAAACATATCCCACATATCTGAGTTCTCTGAGAAGTTGAGAATAAAGTCATAACATTCTGAGAACTTGTCCATCCTCTGTGTTCTCTGCAAAGCCACGAACAAAGTCATATAATTTTGAGTATAGTCCTGCCCTATAGTCTGTGGTGCATTATGTTATTGCTCTGCACTCTGGTGTCCCAACAGAACGCCACCTGGGACTCTCTCTGGATGAGACAAAGTTAGCAAAGCGGCCGTGTGTTGGTCTTCATCAGAAGTGGAAAAACAAACAAAGAGCGAGGAGAGCTGACTGTACAGACCACTGACCTATAGACAAGGCATCTTTTTTTGCCAAAAAAGAGTGAGGGGGATGCAGCAGCAATCTCTTGCCCTTGCCTGTCCCTTGGCCGAGTCCTCTGAACACCCTTCTAGGGGGGAAGTACTGTCCCTGTTAAGATAAGCTGATTTAGAGGTATGCCCTGGGTGCGTGTTTAGCCTAGCTTAAAAAAACTGGTGGAGGGAGAAAAACTGTTAGCCCAGCTCCAGCAAAAACGAAAAAAGTGAGAGAAATGTAAATTTTGGTCAGCTTTCGAGTCATTGGAAGGTGTATTTTATCAGGTTTGATGGAGCTACACTTGCACTTTCCCCCTACGTCCAGTCTTTGTGCTAAGCTAGGCTAAATACGTCCTGGACTGACTATGTCTCTGGACATACAGGAATGAAACTGATATCTTCTCACCTGACACTGAAGAGGACAAGGATTTACAAGACATGTCAGACTGTTCCTTTAAATGTGCTGCAGACATTTTGAGTGCAGCAGGACCAGAGTGCAGATGGATCACATGACAGGAAACTGATCATAGAAGCATAAATCAAACTGTCTGGACGAGTGTGAAGAATCAGATCTACGACACGCACAGAAACATAGAAACTTACGTCAGAGTTGAACCTCAACTGGCAGACGTTACAAGAGATGACCTGCTTCTTCTTGGGCACCAAGGTGACGCCAAAAGTGTGGTTGATGACGGCCTTCTGCACCGGGTCCATCTGCAGGAGCCGCACACAGAGGTCAGAGGTCAGCAGCCTGCTCAGGATTGGCGGAACAGTGATGACAAGGTGACGCTGACAGAGTGACAGGTCTCTTTATCACAGTCAGTCTGTACCGCCTGCAGCTATGACACCCTGTCACAGCTACTGTTCCTCTCACACACACACACACACACACACACACACACACACACACACGTCATACCGTGTTGAAGTTTGGGAAAAGTCCAACTGGCGACGTCGTCTCGACAGGAAATGGCAGGAATGGTTTCATCATCACCGAGGGACCAGTGGCGCCTATCAGTCCTGGCAACGCCCCGCCCACTGCACCACACCCACTTCCTGTAATCAGAGAGATGGACACAACATCTTAAGTCTCTTAAATTGCATTCATGTTTCCCTGACTTGCGACTTTTCCTTGAGTCTTAGTCCTTCCTACCAGGGATGCATGGAGAGACGCAAGGAAACCATGCAAGGAGAGAGGAGTCAAGGAAATACAGTATGTCTTCAGAGAAATGACCCATCATTTTGTCTGAGGCATCACAGGAAGCATCGTCCATTTTTGATGACAGGAACAACTGATCGCAGCTGGATCAGCTGTCAGTAGGCTTTATAAACAGCTGTAGAGACTTTTAATGTAGTTTGCGTCTGCACATGTGCACTGTGCTCATTCTAATAAAGGGGAGATGACATGCAGCAGGGGGCCCTGAGTTGCCACTGCGGCAAGGATATAGCCTTTGTACACGGGGCGCCTGCTCTACAAGATGAGCCAGTGGGTGCCCCACTTTTATTGATTTGAATGCTCTTTAGTTTCTGCGGCACTGCTGAATGCAGTTGGTGTTCTGTTAAAGTCAAACAATTAAGGTGATTTCATTTCAAAATAGCTTAACGCTCAGACAACTGTTAGGTAAGACCTGTTAATTTCTCCAGGTGTTCTTACAGAGAGAGTCAAACGCCGTATGACCTCACAGATGTGTACTTTCTGCACGAAACAGTAACATTTTTGCCCAGGGTGAAACTACGGTGGCCAACAAGGTCAAATACAGAATTGATGTTTATGTGATGGTGAGTTCTGCAACAGTCCAGCTGCAGAACTATTTGTGCTGGCAGAGCCAAATAAATAATTAAATAAACATTCATTAATTCATTTTCTGTCACCACTTAATCTGTTGGGAATCAGGGGTGCTGGAGCCTATTCCAGCTGACATTGGGCGAGAGGCAGGGTACACCATGGACAGGTTGCCAGACTATCACAGGGCTGACACATAGAGACAGACAACCATTCACACTCACATTCACACCTACGGACAATTTAGAGTCACCAATTAACCTGCATGTCTTTGGACTGTGGAAGGAAGCTGGAGCACCTGGAGGAAACCCACGCTGACACAGGGAGAACATGCAAACACCACACAGAGGGGCTCCCACACCCCGGGGTTGGAACCAGGAGCCCTTTTGCTGTGAGGAGGCAATGCTATATCACATGTGAGGTTGTGCTGTTGTACTGAATATCAACACGATTATTTTCGGCCTGCGCCCTCGTGCCCACGACAGAATCACAGCCGTGCTGATGTTAAGCACAACAGCACTCCCTCCTCTGTGATATTTCTTATTTCAGATAAACCGTTGGACCAGTAGCCATTCGTGTTAAAGTAAGCAGGTCAGTGAATGTATCTTGAGCTGGTCCGTTGGCTGAGTGACACCGACACCTCTTGGCAAAACGTCAGGAGAACTAATGAAGGAAATCCATCTCACTGTGATATTTATGTCATTTCAACCTGGAGACCTGAGCAGCTGACTCACTTTACAGTAAATATATGAAGAACATATGGAGCTGCAGTAGCTGAGGGCAGGGAGGTAATGTTACAGAGATAAATAGAGGGTGAATGAGCTGCTCACATAATGAGTCCATGTGTCCAGTCGCCACAGGGCCAGTAAGAGTTGCTCTGTACATCTCAACTCTCCTTCATCTCCATTTAAAGAGGCAGTGAGTAGATAAATACATTCACTACAACGTGACCGAATCAAGGGCCGTACACATCACACCGTACACCACTGTTACAAAACAAAACGGCTGTGAAGAAAAGTAAGTGCTGATGCTTCTGAAGGAGGTGTTACATATACTGTACACAGTATACACAAATACAAATGTGATGAGGCGTAAGTGTGTTTCTTGCATCTGTGTACGTTTACAGTCACAGCTTGTAGGAGCCCTGCAGTGAATTCTTTCATAACGATAGTGTGGGTGGAAACACTGAGAGCGACTGAATCAGCTCTGACAGAGGAGGAGGAGGAGGAGGAGGAGGAGGAGGAGGAGGAGAAGTTTTGGTCTTATTGATTCCGTCCATCTGTCCATCTTCACTTAGGTAAACCCATTCAATCCCATTTTAAATACTATAAACCACTTTAACCAATTCTAAAAGCTTTATAATTATATTTAACCCCATTAAGTCCTTCAACCCATTCTCAATGCACAACTGCCTCATTATTTATTCCAACTCATTGCACTAAAATTCGTTTTAGCCCATTCATTCTATAAATGCCTTATAACCCATCCTAACCAACTCTAAATACCTCATTATCTATCCCAGGGGTCGGCAACCTTTACTATCAAAAGAGTCATTTTTGCAAGCACAAATTCTTCCCGGACACTTTGAGCTATATGCCGTTACATGCAGATGCTGAGGTTAACACAACAAGCAGATTGGCGTGCAAGTCAGTGACACTATGGCCCCGTTTCCACCAAACACTTTTGGTATAGTACCTTTTCAAACCAAAGTAACCCTTCAGACATGGTACCTAGACCCTAGGTCCGTTTAGTGTTTCCAATGCAAACAGTACTCTTAAATGTGGGCGGGGTTGTTGTCACTCACTGCTCCGTCCAGCACTGTATTTCCTAATTACTGGTGACACAGATGGAAGTCTGCGCCTTGTTTATCGTCCACAGAACGAGGCTGCATGCTGACATTTTCAGAACAAAACAGAACAGGCTGCAGTGAGAGTCTCTCTCTCCATGGGATATTTAAAAATAGCGGGTTTGTACATTTAGTCCTTCTCAGCCAGCTGATGGGAACGAGCAGGGCTGCAAAGATTAGCTGACTAATCGATGACTAATCGACTATTAAAATAATCAGTTACTATTTTAGTAGTCAACTAATTGGTTTGAGTCATTTTTCATAGAAAAGCACTATAAAAGTACCCCAAAATACTCTTATTGCAGCATCTTACCTTCAAATATTGGCTGCTTTACACACTCTCCCGTGACGGGGAACTAAAACCCTTTGGCGTGAGTACAAAACAAGACATTAGATGACGTAATTTTGGGGTTTGGGAGTGACAGACTGACATTTTTCAACATTTTAACACATTTTTCGATAAAATGATTGGTCGACTAATCGAAGAAATAATCGACAGATTAGTTGACAATGAAAATAATCATTAGTTGCAGCCCTATCTCAGAGTGAGTATTATCAATCAATCAATCAATTTTATTTATAAAGCCCAATATCACAAATCACAATTTGCCTCACAGGGCTTTACAGCATACGACATCCCTCTGTCCTTATGACCCTCACAGCGGATAAGGAAAAACTCCCCAAAAAAACCCCTTTAACGGGGAAAAAAAATGGTAGAAACCTCAGGAAGAGCAACTGAGGAGGGATCCCTCTTCCAGGACGGACAGACGTGCAATAGATGTCGTACAGAACAGATCAGCATAATAAATTAACAGTAATCCGTATGACACAATGAGACAGAGAGAGAGACAGAGAGAGAGAGAGAGATAT